GTCAAAATTAACCTAAATTTGGTGCAAATTTCATAACATTAGAATCAAGTATTATATAATCATAAAAATCAAAATATACAATAAAATTGAACAGTACCTCTTGCGAAAATTCAATTCATGAAAAGCAAACAATCCTAATAAGGAACCACAAACTTGAAACCACGAAAGTTAACCTTGATCTCACTTTTGTTTGTGAGTAAAAGAAATATCACATATTATTACAAGTAGGAACCTCCTAACCCCAAAGTTGATTTACCGTTTTAACCCTACAATATTATTTAAATATTAATTTATTTAAAATATTAGTTAAATATTAATTTATTATAAATTAAATTTGCTGTCAGGCCTAATTTAATTCTTCAGAAACGTATACCTTTTGTTCAACGTCCCTCGCGATCGCTGTAACAGTCGTGTAGTTGCTACTCAACCTTCCCTTCTGCAACGCTCAAGATCCATTACTTAAATTATCCCTTCTTCCAAAACCTTTTCAGATACTCCACTCATTTGTATAAATGTCTCCAACAACCTGTTATTGTCCATTAATCTGTTTCTCTTTTATGTGCCTGAATGAAATACATCATTATCAAGTGAATATTTTTCCTGCTCTATTTTTGTTGCATAATAGTTACGGTCAATTGTCAACAGAACTGTGATCATGAATGAAGGAGAGGACAATCAAAGAGTCCAGTGCACATTCTGATCGTAAGGATGATAACCCTTAGACTGGTCCAGTTCCATGTATTATTTTCCATCACTGTGCTGAGCCATCCCAAGCTCCCACATCATCAATAGTTTCTTGGTAGTGCTCAAGTAGAAAGTTTTATCCGGGATGATATAAACAACTTGTGATGGAAAACATATATTGGAGTTTATGCAGTCTTCAGTTCCTTTTTATCTTCTCGAATGTTTTTTTTTTTTACTTTTGATCATTCACTTCTGTTAATTGTTGTTTTGTGGTTTTTAAACACTGCAGGTGTTTTACTTTGCTGTAGGGGACAATAGGCAAGGGCACTTTCTTAAGGTTAATCTACTTTCCTGACCTTGACGCTTTGCTTTTGCTCTGTTTTGCTGCTAATTGAAAATATATGTGCACCCTTAGTTTCCTTGCACATTGCGATCAGTTTTACTTGATAGATTTTAGATGGTCTTATATGAACTCGCACATTACGATCACTTTTACTTGATAGCTTTTAGTTTTGCATTCCCCACAATATTAGCAGATCATTAGAAGAGTTTTATATCTAACTAACTCTCTTGGTTGAGAATCAAAATGATAATATTCGATTCTGGATAGACATAAAAAACCTTTAGTAGTAACTGAACTAGGATGAAAAGGAAGTAGATATATTTTATCAAGGACACTCATAAATGGATTCACATCCAATGTAAAAACAACATATTTATGGGCTCTGAATTGACATTTGATAAATGATATTGGTCCATGTAATGTGCACTAACAAATAAGATAGAAGATAATAGGTAACCAAACTGAGTTTACTTTGTTGCATCCTGAACGTTATTAAGCTTAAACAACCTTTCCGTGAGACTAAGGAGTCATCTCTAAGAAGCTCTTGGTAGATTTATAGAACCTACTTCCCTCTTCATTCTTCCTCCTTTTGTCTTCCTTCACTGCAACAATTCATATATTTTGTAAAAGAATTGGTAACGTCGTATTCCTCAGCATTAAGGACATGCTGGCAACCTTAACAGAGAATTACAAAGTAGGAGTAAATATTACAATGAACCTAAAAGATCTACTATATGTTCAACTTCATCTATACATTCCTCTTTACACCAAAATAAAAGGGATATAATACAATTCAATTTAACTTTATGAATGGAACTAAACCTATTCGCAAAACATCTCTAATTCCTCTCTCTCTAGAATGTCCACCATAAACATGCTGGGATTACTTTCCACTACTTCTTTTGGCTCTTGCTCCCACCCCTCCTAATCCAACAACTCAATAAATCAACAATATGTTTTGGCATAGACCAGTTTGTTTCTGCAGGACTTAGAAATAGTGACCGATCTGTGAAGTTATTTTGCAATTCAAAAACAGGTGCTTGTTAAAAGATACCTGAAATATGATTCCAGTTGTCCCGTTCTACTTTGGCCTGAATGGCCGACTGTATTCAATCCCGGTTGTGACATGTCCTATCGTAGAAAGTTTTATCCAGGATGATATGACCAACCCGTGATGGAAAACATATATTGGAGTTTATGCAGTCTTCAGTTCCTTTTTATCTTCTCGATTGTTTTGTTTTACTTTTAATCATTAACTTCTGTTAAATGTTGTTTTGTGGTTTTTAAACACTGCAGGTGTTTTACTTTGCTGTAGGGGACAATAGGCGAGAACACTTTCTTAAGGGTAATCTACTTTCCCGACCTTGACGCTTTGCTTCTACTTTGTTTTGATGCTAATCGAAAATATATTTACACCCTTAGTTTCCTCGCACATTGCGATCACTTTTACTTGATAGCTTTTAGATGGTCTTATATGAAAGTAGGTTGATGGGTTGTTTTCTTACTGCTACCATAGTATTTTACTATTAAACTTGGCTCTTGTCTGTCTCTTCTTGTCTGTTTTTTGCTTGTATCTCTCCTCTCTCTCTCCCTTTAATATATCCCTGGCCAATATCTCTCTCCCGTTAATGGCCACAACCATGTTTCATATGGATGGTAATTGTCATCAGCAGCTTCTGCCAAGTCTTTATCCATACTCTTCAACAATGTCATGTTGAAGTACTTTGCCTACATATATCCTTTTCGATGCTCAACTGAGTGCTGCTCTTCCCCCGCACCTGAGTAAAGAATAATGTAAACCATCTGCCGGGCACTGTCATACGCCCATACATTTACCAACAGTCCAAAACCCGACAGTAACAGTGCTTCTTCTGATGGTCACAAACAATAACAACATAAGAACTTATCCTTCTAGCCTGCATTACTTTGAAGTTTAGTGATAGCGTACACTATTGCAGGTAACAATTTTTAAGTGTCATATACTTGAGAAACAGAAATAGAAACAGCTGCATGAATACTCAATTAAACTATTGTTTGCACTTGTCAATTGTTTCTTAGAGGCTCGTCCAAAGGTGTAGCGTAGTGATCAATGAAGTGAGATAAAGTCAAGGGACACCAAAATTCCTAACAGAGTCAGAAAGAGCACTAAATTAAAGTATTGGTTGCACTTGTCAATTGTTTCTTAGAGGCTCATACAAGATGTAGCGTACTGATCAATGAGGTGGGATAAAGTCAAGGGACACTAAAATTCCTAATAGAGTCAATAAGAGCAAGTCATTATATACATGGCATGTTCTCGTTGAATCTAGAAAAAATCCTAAATCAAAAAGAAAATGATCAGATTATTTTAGCACAACAATTCTATACCTTACATTAGGAAAGTTTTACACTGATTCTAGCTGCTAAAGCAATTGGAAAAAAATCCTATACCTACCAATCATTTAGCTTCCTCAGAAATTTATTTGCCAGCCTGAGTTTGAGTGAAAATCAGCAACAAAGACACCTTTATTAACAGAACAATTAAACTATATAGGGAATTTAGCCTTCAGACATTCTTATCTAATCCATAAATCTGTCAAGAAAATAGAAACATACAGAATTCCAAAAAGATATTATTTTAACACAACAAATCTATACCTTACATTAAGAAATACATAATCCCCAAATGTCTAATTAAATAAACAACTATTAGCTATATTGCTGTTGATATATGTTATAGTAGAAAATATTACATTTGCGTCTAGTTAAGCTGTTAGAAAATAAAGCTATTGCCATAACATGTCAACAGATTGTCAACCAAGGACTTTTCCATTTTGAAGGCGATACGTTTGCATTACTTCCGTTATAATAATTTTTTACATTTTTATTGATTTACTTCTCTTTGAAATTACGTTTACTATCTCTTCATGTTCTAATACTTTTAACAGGTTTCTTGCTTTCGGCAACACCAAAATTGGTAACATTTCTCCACCTTGGATTAACTTTCTTCAATTTATGTGATATTTATGCTATTGTTAGTTGAAGTTGCTCGCTTTTAAAATTAAAAAAGAAGAATTAGTTTATGCTTGGTGAATACTGTATTCTTGAGCATATTGTTAGACCGAAAGAAGACTAATTATATAAAAATAAATATCATTTACATCACAAATATATATTGTATTAGTTCATCCGAGCTACTACAACAATACAATTACAAGTCTGGAAGAGCTCGAGACCAGTGCCTACCAATTAGCAAGTTGAAGAAATATGCAACAAAATGGGTGATTAAAGTCTTAGTCATTCGACGGAGTTTAATAAAAGAGTATAAAAATTCAAGCGGTGAGGGTATTCGTTGGCAACTGATATTAGTCGATAAAGAGGTAGCCCTATTTTAATATTTAATCACGTTCATTACTTAATATGTTGACTTCTTTTGCGATTCTAATGATTATGGTCCTTACCACAGGGTACAAAAATACAAACGACTCTTTTCAACAAAGATGTTAATGCATCGAACAAGTCTTTTCAACTTAATCAAAGTTACTACATTATAAATGGAAAATTAAATGGAGCTAAACCAAACTTCTTATCTGTGCATAACGACCTCGAACTAGCATTTATGAACAACACAGAGGTCGTTGAGGACAAATGCCAATTTAAGACTGAACAATTTTCGAATGGATTTATTTCATTTGACGAAGCTGAAAAAATCACTAATGGGAGTTTGTTTGGTAAATTTCACTAAATGTTTGTTGTATGTTCCATACATAAAGAAAAATTGTATTTTGTAACACATTGTTTTGTTTAGATGTGGTGTGTATTTTACTCACAGTAAAAGCATTAACTGGAGAAGGACGAAGCATTAACGCGAAGTAACGTTACAAACGAAAGGTAACATATACTTTCTATGCTTCCTACATATAAATATTTCACGTTAATAAACATTTATCATAAAAATATTCTTTGTTACATATATAGGTATGACCGAAAAGTCATGACTTTATGGGGAGATTTCGCTGAAATCGAAGGTCAAATGTTACAGAGCCTTGAAAGTGACAAACCAGTGCTTGCCTTTTGTGATGTAAACTCATCGATTTACCAAGGTATAAATCTCCTCAGTTGATATATTTGAGTCAAGTTTCAAACTTCATAAAAGTATCACTAAATTAATTACTCCTGCCAAAATAGGGGATTTTGTCCTTTCCACGACACCTGTTAGTAGTTTGCTAATAAATCCACAATTTGAAAAAGCAAACAATCTCCAAGAATGGTAAGTAATACATGTTTCATCACACTTATTCAGAGGCTACACACATGCTACGTCATTAATGTTTTTCTTTTCATTACTTAAAAATTCCAGGAATGACAATATGAAGGCACAAAAGATTGACTTAAGTCTAATGCCAAGCAGACTAATGCAAACAGCCAGCCAAGTGAAAAATACTAATATTTTAAACGGTTCACTTGCCATTGTGAAGGTAAATTCCTATACAACACCCATCCTGTACTCAAATTATATGTTTCAAATGTAATTAAGTGACTTACCTAATTTACATATAGGACATGTACTATAAGTTCAATGCTACGATTTCCGGCATTGACAATAGCACCGACCCATGGTATCATGCTTGCAAGAAATGCTACATGAAAGTTACTATTATAAAAAGTAGTGCAACTTGTACCTACTGTAGGGCTGAAGATATTGATTATGAGGAGAGGTAAACTACACAAATGACTAACAACAAATATTGCTTACTCCACTAGATACATGAAAAATTAATGATTAACTATTGAAATAAGTTTACTATATCACTATCAAATAATTAGCGTCATACTGATTAAATCTTCCAATTTGTTTTAGATATCGGTTAAAGATTGATGTCACTGCTGAGGATCAATTCCTAAGGATTACATTGTTTGATGCTGCAAAATACTATTTTAGTTGTGACGTAAAAGACTATGTTCTCTCTACATCTGAAAAGGTAAATCACTTACTCTATGAAATATTAGCCTATATAAATAACGTTAACCTATTTTAACTGAAATACTAATATATATGGTTTCCTATTCCACAGAAAGAAGAATCAGAATACTATCGCAAGTATTGAGTAAGGGGAAAGAATTCAGTATCCTTGTGAAGATTGATCGTAACTTTCCAAATGTTGAGACAAACATGAATGTGATAGCTATGGAGATACATGAGGTTCCAAAAAAATTTGCAGCAGATCAAACCAAGGTTAAAACCCCGATTAAAAAACAAAGATGTAAGAGGATGAAGAAACTAAGTGATAATAAAAAAATGAAAGAAATAGCTGCAGACATACCTCATGTTGAAAAAGATATTGCAGCAGTTGAAACTGACACTGAAAGCCCAGAAAAAACAAATAGATGCAAGAGGACCAAGAAAATTAAGGAAGTCACTGCAGAGGAAAATCCACAGAAAGTGAGGATACATAAGGTTGAAAAGCAGAATGTACCAGATGAAAGTGACGACGAAACCCCACTAATTTAGCTACAAAGTAAAAGGACCAGGAAGGTTAAAGGAAAAAACCTCATGCCATATCCTATTGAAAAGAAGATCAAAGAGGAAAAAAACTAATATATAGTTGATTTATAATTTCCTTATGTTTAACTAACAATGCTTATTATCTCCCTAATACTAATATTTAAAAGCTACTTTCCTTTTTTCACCGAGCAACTTCACCTAACATCGTTTTTATTTGTGACTTACTTTCTCCTACATCAATGAATTTGGTTAACTGCTTCACTAAACATTCAATGTATTCAATTTATTACTTTAAAACAGATCAACAACAATCTTCTGCAGCAATCTATACCCTCATACAAATAATAAGGTATGCATACATCCTACCCTATATGTATTTCTTACCTATATATAGAAAAACGAACAATTCAGAATAATAGATGTCTATTTCCTATATATGCCAAATTAATGACTTCAATTGGCATTAATGATTCCTCTATGTTCTAGATCACTGCAAAATTACATATGCTAGATCGGACAAGACAAGAGAAGTGTCATACTAACAATCCGAAATTTGTCGCCATCAAATCAACCCTTCTATTCAATTCACTTCACAGGTGATAAAGGTAACTCCATTGCTTCTAGTTGTAATGTTGATCAGCAGGCCAAAACAACAATAGATTAGACACACTATACATGTCGGATCTCAGATAACGCCCCAACAAAATCCAGCGTTCAACAATGTGTGACTTCTTTATCTCTAAGACACACTACTTAAGTAACTTACAATTACATTTGATTTACACAAATTAATGTTTTTAAAATCACTTTTCATGTATATACAATATATAGTACTCACTCTATCTTATTGTAATAACCATTGCAAACTATTGTCTTGTCATGTCAAATCCAACCGGTGATAAAGGAAAAATCATTCCTTCTCCCAGTAAAACTGATCAACATGACAGCCACACAAAAAATGATTTGAGCAACACAGGTAAGAACTTACATAATCATGTAAAATTCTACATACATGAGTACTCTGTACAACGAGAACATATTGGCATACGTACATACATAAGTATTACATGCTTTCTCTAAATTTAACAAAAACTATTCCTCTCATAGAGAAAAGTCAATTGCGATGCGCATTGCGAAAAGTGGATAAATATATATTAGCAACCCAAACAATAGCACATCTAGAAGATGAACTTCCACGTTTGAAAAAGCAACCTAAAATTAATTGGCTATTTAGAGCATTATTTGAAGAGTCTAAAGCTGGAGGTACATTGGAAAAACCCTATTCATATCTTACATAACTTTAACATTCAATACCTTTATGAATAGATTCTTAACGTATATCTCTCCCCATATTTATATATGTAGGAACTATTGCTTACAACTTATCTTTATCATATCTGCACGTGTTAAAAACTGTCCCAGAATGCATTTATTGTGCTGCTATTGTCACATTAATGTTGAGGTCTGCTCAGGAGTCAAAGCAATAAAGTATCTATACAAGTATATATATAAAGGTCATGATCGGTGTGCCGTTTATGTTCAGTCTGATGATGATGAAAATGTTATTGACGAAATACAAACATTCCAAGATGCGCGGTGGGTCTCACCGCCTGAAGCACTATGGAGAATATATGAATTCAACTTGATTGAAATGCAACCTACAGTCATCAATCTTCAACTACATCTGCTAGGAAAACATTCAGGTACACATATTAATGCATAATAATACACACTTTCTTTTAAGAATAATTATAATAGTCAAAATACAAATACTAACTCTCAATGAGCTCACAATGTTTTACTAGAAAAACCAAAATTTACAAAATGTCATTGCCTGGGATGGTGTCAAGCAGACAATGTTGACCGAGTATTTCAGAATGTGCTCAATTGGCACTGAAGCACACACATACCTTTATAGAGAATTCCCAAAGTTTTATGTCTGGAATTCCAAGGTAAAGACTTGGACAAAAAGGAAAACAAGATCTGTAATCGATCGCATTGTAATTGGTAAGCCAGATGTAGTAAACTATAACTTCATACACATCGATAATTGTTAAACTTATTAATTAGTAGATATTGATTATAATGTACAACTAATCCTCGAGAAAGGGAAAGGTATTATGAGCGGTTATTACTAAACCATGTAAGAGGACCATTGTCATTCAATGACTTACTCACGGTCAACGGAAAGCAATGTCAGATCTTCAAAGAAGTAGCCAAAGAAAGAGGATTACTCGAGTTCGACAACAACATATCAGAATGTTTAAGAGAGGCTGTTATCTTTAAAATGCCACCAACTCTCCGAAGTTTGTTTGCTACAATTTTGGTTCATTGTAACCCAACGGATATTAGAAAACTCTGGGATACTTATTATGAGGATATGTCTGAGGACTTCAACAGGTTATATGGCAACTTACACAATACTATACTACATTCTACCCTAAATAGTATTAATAATTGCTTGCAAAGTATGGTCAAGAGCATAAACATATATGACATTCCTCAACTAGATCACAATTTGCTCGAAGTTGGTCCATCAGAATGTAGAGAAATAAATGAAGAAATGTCTGTGCAGATACCTACAAAAGATTTTGATGCACAATAACAATTAAATCAAGAACAAGATCATTCTTTTACAAAAAATAATGCAACCAATCAATGTTGGAATAGCTGAAATATTCTTTGTGGATGGACCTGGAGGAACTGGGAAAACATACCTATATGGTGCATTGCTTGTCAATGTTAGATGAAGAGGTATGATAGCTTTGGCAACAACAACCAGTGGCGTAGCAGCTTCAATCTTACCAGGAGGATGTACAACACACTCGAGGTTTGAGATCGCCCTTCCAAAAAATGAATCAACTATGACAAACATGTCAAAGCAAAGTGGTGCTGCCAAATTGATTAGAAAAGCAAAAATCATTATATGGGATGAAGCACCAATGGCCAAACGACAAACAATAGAAACAGTCGACAGGAGCTTCAGAGACATAATGGACATCGATAAACCATTTGGTGGAAAAGTCATAGTTTTTGGAGGAGATTTTCGGCAGCTATTACCAATAGTTCCATAATCAACTAGAGTAGAAATTGTAAATGCAAGCTTGGTGAAATCATATCTCTAGCCTTTGATGGAGAAGATTCAATTTACAAGAAATATGAGAGCAAGAACAAATTCAACATTCAGTGAGTTCTTACTTCGCGTGGGTAAGGGAGATGAACCAACAATAAGAGACAATCTAATCCTTCTCCCTGAACAACTGACTGTCAAGCATTCTCCGATGGAATTCCAGAAGAATCCATAATAAAAGAGATATTTCCAAACCTACAAGAAAATGCTGCAACGATAAAATATGTCACTGAAAGAGCTATTTTAGCAAGCAGAAATGACCATGTGGATAAACTTAATGACAAGTTAATATCCATGTTCCCGGGTGAAAGCAAGATATTCAATAGCTTTGACTCAGCAGAAGATGAGACCAACAACTATTACCAAGAAGAATATCTAAATACTTTAACACCAAACGGTCTCCCGCCACATAGGTATTGAAGAAAATACATTACAAATTACAATCATGAAGAGGTGGTAACAAATATCAAAATGGATAGATTTTGACATATCCTATTAAATGCAGGTTAGAATTGAAGGAAAATGCACCCATCGTGTTGCTAAGGAATTTAGACCCTTCAAGTGGCTTATGTAATGGCACACGAATGATATGTCGAGGCTTCTCCCAAAATGTCCTGCATGCAGAAATATCAAGTGGTCATTCTGCAACGAAGCATGTGTTTCTTCCTAGAATTCAACTATCACCACTAGAACATAAAAGGATATCCATTTAAATTCATTCGAAAGCAATTTCCAGTACGCCTTTGCTTTGCAATGACTATAAATAAAGCTCAAGGTCAAACAATTAAAAATATTGGTTTGTATTTACCCCAACATGTTTTCTTACATGGTCAATTGTACGTGGCACTCTCAAGAGGGATATCTATGTCCACAACAAAAGTACTTGTCCTAACAGAGCAACCGAAACATCAAAATGGAACATACACAAAGAACACTGTCTATAAGGAAGTTTTAGGTACGATAACCCCATATACATATATGTCCATTCTAACACAGATAATTAACTCTTTACAGATCGTAGATACTAACAACATTACATTGCTTCAAATCTCAGGTTTAGAAGACCTAGAGACACCTATGCAAGCATAGTGGATTCTTGATCAACCCATACTCTTCAATGTGTTAATGTCATATTCAGAATAGTTCTTTAAGTACTATTATGAGCTTTCTTGATATCGTATTCCATTCTAATGTTTTAATATTATTATTATTAATAATCTACAGTACTTTCATACTTCTGTTTTGACAATTCATTTTAACTTCATGTTGACGTTCTTACTTATTATTAAATGCATACGTTACATCTTTTTCACTATACGAGATCAATAATAGCTCATGCAACCATCAGAAGACTAATTAACACAATGTACACTTTTACTACATCAATAATAATGCACCCACTCATGACAACACTGCTTTACAAATGTCTCTCCACAGAGAATGATACAACCTAATATCAACCCCGCCATATGCCTTTGCCATGTCAAGCTTAATAATCACATTATCAGGTTGGCCCCTCAACCTAATATCAGTAATAATTTCTTGAGCGAACAATACATTTTCAGTAATATTTCTTTCTTTGACAAATCCAGATTGATTCCGGGATATCAATCTAGGAAGTAACACTTCCATTCTCTCATGCACCAATCTAGATATGATATTATTAAGGAAATTACTCAAGCTAATAGCTCTAAGATTAGTAAAGGATTGAGGAAAATACTTTTTAGGTAATAGCACCAAGTTAGTATGAGTAATAGACTTAGGTAAATTAGCTCCTTTGATGAAATCCTGAACTATTTTTATCACATCTAAACCAATAGTGTCCCAACAATTCTGATAAAAACACCCTGAAAAACCATCTAGTCCACAAGAGCTT